CCTCCTCCTCCTCCTCCTCCTCTCCTCTCTCTCTCTCTCTCTCTCTCTCTCTCTCTCTCTCTCTCTCTCTCTCTCTCTCTCTCTCTCTCTCTCTCTCTCTCTCTCTCTCCGCTCTCTCGACTTTTCCCTATCGGCGCAGAGCAAAGTGATACCACAAACAAGTAAATAGACTGCCAGCTGGAATTGACCAAAGTAATATTTGCCATCGATCGCGTTCGCCGCGGGAAAGGAAACACATAAATGTAGCAAAGCGTTTACATTGGCGTACGCTAATGCATGAATGCCGAGTCAATGTTAGCGTTGCCTGCTTCACCGTTGCGAAGTCGCTCTATTCGGCCGCGCGCATCCACTTTGCGTTTCGACAGAAATTATGATCGATACGATGGATATCTCTCCCGAACGCGCGCGTGTTGTCTGAACCGAGACAATCGTATATGGCGAACGAACGCCGTTGCATTTTCCAGCGTGGCGAATAGCGATACAGATGTTTCCCTTTAAACGCCCGGCACTTTGGATTTTTACGAGCCACTTGCGAAACCGACACGTGATGTCTAGCCGCCCGCTTGTAACAATATCCCTATATTTTCGGCGTAACGCCGGCTTCTTTATGGGACAATCATCGCTACAAGTAATGCACTAAATATATCGTTAATATTCATTACGATGATCAACACGAGTCATTCATGATTCTTGTCGAATCATCTACTCTTCTTTTTTCACACCGTATAAATCTGTAATTGAGATATCGCGGCGTGATTAATGATAATATTCCTTTCATCAAACGTGAAAAGACAAAAAAAAAAAGAGAATCGTATCGTAATACCGAAATATGTACGCTCTCGCATATTTATGCTTGAAGAAAGCTTTCTTTTAAAAAGATGCACATGTATTAATATATCGCGTGATATATCAACAAATTTATCGGAGAAAATAGGTCTCTGTAAAGTCCACTAACCGCGTTCTGGATACGATCCAAATGTTGTTCCATAAACCAAATTATCATTCACAATCAGACCTAGAGACGGCAAGATAATGTACCCTCACGTAACATTATTATGTGAGCGGGATATTCTCTCCAAACTCGAGAGCAAGAAATACATAGGAATTTCACGAACTTTACATTCCTGGTTACACATTAAATTTCCAGCAAAGTTCTTTCTTCCTTCTTCCTTATCGATGAACGTGAGATATGTACATAATGGTGAAGAATGTATCTGATAATGAAACAGTCAAAGTAAAAATTAAATTACATTTGCATAGTAAAATTTACAATCTCAAAGCACAAATTGCTGGTAATCTAAATATTCGTCGTTGTATTCGCCAATCCATATACCTTTGTATCTTCAAAGAGACAAAGATTACGTAAATTTTTACCGAGATAAACAAATATCGTCTATCCCCCGCGCTATCTTTTTCTCACGATCGTGGAAAATAAATCTTCGAGAAAAACGATGTCATTAGCGGCAAGAGTTTGCTGCTATCTTACATCGTTTGTGCGCGTTCAACTTTCCCGACACGTTCGTGAATAATCAATAATCTGTTGTGCAATTAATTACGTGCACTCTGACACGACCTTTCGTTTTTTTTCATCACGCGAAAGGCGATTTGCCCCTGGTGACGCGGATTAAAGACTCCAAGACTCAATGGCTCGCTCGACCTCGGCCGATTTTATCTGCCGGGGCATTAATTCATTAATTAACGAGGAAGGCTCTTATCTGCCAGCGTTGATAATGGCCAAAAAGCCTCGACCTAGCACAATCGAGCGTGGAAAGGCGGCGATCCCCGCGTATGAATGCGGAAAAGCCGCATCGCGACGTTTCAGCGATATCAAGCGCTTCAATTGTATCCATAATTCATGAATAACGTGACGTTCGTCATCCAAACGTCAATCGCACACATATATGCTCTCTCACACATACACAGACACACACATATAACGCACATAACGTGAATGCGCAAGCGAGCGCGCGCGCGCGCGCGCGCGCAAATATTTAAATTAGCGGCATCGTTCGCAATAACAATAACTTTATTGGCAATATCGCGACGCAAAGCGTCAGCATATTAATCGTTTACCGCTCACTTTTGTGCCTCGTAAAACAAAATTATAAAGTATGAATTGTAAATCATACCGATTTTATTATCATATTGTTGCGATCGTAGATCCAACAACAATTTGCTTCATTTTATTTCGGACGGAAAAAGACGTGACGCGATAAGAACGTGACCGACTGCCGTCGATAATGAAGAAAAAAAAAAAAAGAAAAAAAAAGGTTTGTTACACAACTTTCTTCAGACCGCTTCGTAATTAAGAATACGCGCCTTTACGCGCCTCGTCGATGCTCATCAAAGCGGAACACAATTATATAACCCATGTCTATTTCTGAGTGTAAGTGTGGAATAATAATTATCTTCGGCTATCGATCATTTCGAACGGTGCATTTTGTTAAATTATAGATCGACACGCAACAACGAACGGGAACACGAAATGGCCATTTTGCTGTTGTTAACTGTTGATACAGACAGTAGAATACCATCAACCACAACCATTGATTATCGTGGCCATCATGGCATATCTTGCCCACGATTCATCTATTCATGTATAACCAATTGTTATGCCGAAAATGAAAAACCACGAATCTATTCTTGAATATACGCGCTGAATGTAAAATGCAATCATTATGACCTCAATTGATCAATGCAAAAGCATTATATTTGGATTATTGTTGATATTTCGATAATTACACCTCCAAGAGGATAATACATATATTGTAATATGTGACGTATGCATTAAAACCGTCAAAATTTATCATCTCTTTATCATCGCGAATTTTTCACTTATTATACTCGCTCGAAGTTTTCAAAGTTTTTGTTAATTACGATGCGACGATATGATGCAGGGGCATTAATTCTTTTACAATGGTCTAATGGAAGGGGGGGGGGAAGGGGAAAACCTCGAAAAGAGACAGTTGGTGAGAGTTCAACGATCCCTCGAGAAAGCGCCTGTAAATTGCGCGAGTTGTAACGAGAGTCAGCGGGACTGAGTCATCGATATAACTTTACGTACGCACGTACGTGCGTTCGCCACCACCACAGTTTCATTCACAAGCATTGCCTTTTTATGCGCTGACGCACGTACACGCGTGAACGCGCACATAAGCTCGTTGCTATATACCATAATATCCATACGATACTATGTATAGAATATGTCGGACAACTTTATCCTTATCGTCGTCGATCGTCACAAGTCTTTTTTTGATCGTTGGTGGATTTTTATCGCGATAACTAAGAAATATTATTATACAGTTGCAATTAAAAATATAATTAAATGAACTTCCAAATGTGTTACAAAATACCTTTAATAATACTGTACGTTAAATAAAATACTTTTATTAACAAAGGAACTCAGCTCGTATTAACTAATAAATAGGAAATGTAAGAGAAAACAAATTGGATGGTTAAATAAATGTTTAATTAGACCAAATAATAACAAGTGACGGAACTTTTCTCGGTTATTTCAACTTTCTTCTATACGTCCTTTCTATACTTTTACGTTACATTAATTTTAAAAAAATTTCAAAATATATTTATTATCGACGTCTGTCTATATCGCGAAATAATCATCGCGCAAAATTATTAATATTACTAATGCTCCCCCTTTTCTTTACAACTTGATTGAAACCAATGAAATCGCTTCACAATATCTTTTTTTCGCTAACGATACGATGATTATTCATTGTTATACCCCCTTTATTCACAAATACGCGGTCAAATTTAATTTCACCCCTGTTCAAAGGTCCCTATCGCGTGGTTAATCAACGTGGCAAACATTTCGCGATACGTATTGCGCGACATGCGCGTACATTGCCATTACCGGCGTGCAC